GAAGAAGGGGCAGTAGGGGATGGAGTGGTAGGAGTGGAGGAGATCGGCTGTTAGGTGAGGGCAGGATAGCCTTCCCTGAAGAGATGGGTTTTCAGGGTGCACCTAAAGGTGAAGAGGGTAGGTGACAGTCTGATGGATTGGGGTAGTAAGTTCTTATGTACTAGCTCATCCCAAAATACCAAATAATAATTCATAACGGTATTAAAACACAATATAACTCATATCAAACATATCTTAGTTGTGACTAATCATTATCCTCAGTGCATTCAGTGGATAAATATGCCACTCACTCACCAATTATGAAGTGAACTGATCCACTAGGGGATCCTTATTGAGACGGAAAAGTGAATAAATGTTGAAAAAATATAAAGAAACGCCAGTGAAAAAGATAAAAAAAAAGTCCTAATGGGACTGCAATAAAGTGAAAGATATTGATAAATATAATAAAAACAAAAAATAGTGAATCCCTAAATGTGGGATCAATTATCACTCTAACAATAATAGTGACCACAGAGGCTATAAATTTGCCAAATAAAAGTGAAAAATAGGTGAAAAACTCCGTGAATCCCTAAATATGGGATTAAATATCACACAGTAGTGACAAGTGCCGTGACTGAATGACAAAATTATGATAAAATATAAATATACATTATAAAAATATCACAAGAAATGTGCAGCCTACTTAACTATTCACAGCAGCCGGGTTCCTTCTCTCAGCTCTAACCCATTGTCCCTAGAGAAAGCCCCTCTCCCAGGATCCAATATACAATATATGTCCTCTCCCAGCATTCCACTTCCTCTCCAGCCAGCTGGAACTTGTAATTCAGAAAGTATCAGTCCCTCTGCAAATCCAGCCTTCTGGACTACATACAGTTGCAAGAAAAAGTATGTGAACCCCTTGGGATTACGTGGAGTTTTGCATGAATTGGGCATAAAATGTGCTCTGAACGTCATCTAAGTCACAACAACAGAAGAACACAGTCTGCTGAACATAATACTACACAAACATTAGATGTTGCCATGGTTTAATTGCACATAACATGTAAACATTCACAGTGCAGGGAGGAAAAAGTATGTGAACCTTTGGACCTAATAACTGGTTGACCCTCCTTTGGCAGCAATAACCTCAACCAAACGTTTCCTGTAGTTGCAGATCAGACCTGCACAACGATCTGGAGTCATTTTGGACCACTCCTCTTCACAAAACTGTTTCAGTGTAGCAATATTCTTGGGATGTCTGGTGTGAATGGCTCTCTTAAGATCATGCCACAGCATTTCAATCGGGTTGAGGTCAGGACTCTGACTGGGCCACTCCAGAAGGCGTATTCTGTGCTGTTGCAGTCATTGTTTTGTTGAATTACTTGTATGCTTTGGGTCATTGTCCTGTTGCATCACCCATCCTCTGCGGAGATTCAGTTGGTGGACAGATGGTCGTACGTTTTCCTGCAAAATGTCTTGATAAACTCTGGAATTCATTTTCCCATCAATGACAACAATCCATCCAGGCCCTGAGGCAGCAAAGCAGCCCCAAACCATGATGCTCCCTCCGCCATGTTTTCAGTGGGGATGAGGTTTTGATGTTGGTGTGCTGTGCCTTTTTTTCTCCACACATAGTGTTGTGTGTTCTTCCCAAACAACTCAATCTTGGTTTCATCTGTCCACAGTATATTCTGCCAGTAGTGCTGTGGAACATCCAGGTGCTTTTTTGCAAACTTCAAACGTGCTGCAATATTCTTTTTGGACAGCAATGGCTTCCTCCATGGTGTCCTCCCGTGTACTCCATTCTTGTTTAATGTTTTCCTTATTGTAGATGTGTCAACAAAAATGTTAGCATGTGCCAGAGATTTCTGTAGGTCTTTAGCTGACACTCTGAGATTCTTCTTTACCTCATGCAGCATTCTGCGCTGTGCTCTTGCAGTCATTTTTACAGGACGACCACGCCTAGGGAGAGTAGCAACAGTGCAAAACTTTCTCCATTTGTAGACAGTCTGTCTTACCGTGGACACATGAACATCAAGACTTTTGGAGATACTTTTGTAACCCTTTCCAGCTTCATGCAAGTCAACAATTCTTGATGGTAGGTCTTCTGAGAGCTCTTTTCTGCGAGGCATGGTTCACATCAGACAGTGCTTCTTGAAACCAGTAAACCCAAAACAGGTGTGTGTTTTTTAAGGGCAGGACAGCTGTCAGCAACACATCCAATATCATCACACTGATTGGAGTCAAGGTTGGCTCACTCCTGGCTCCAATTAGCTCTGGGAGAAGTCATTAAGCTAGGGCCTCACATACTTTTTCCTCCCTGCACTGTGAATGTTTACATGTTATGTGCAATTAAACCATGGCAACATCTAATGTTTGTGTAGTATTATGTTCAGCAGACTGTGTTCTTCTATTGTTGTGACTTAGATGACGTTCAGAGCACATTTTATGCCCAATTCATGCAAAACTCCACGTAATCCCAAGGGGTTCACATACTTTTTCTTGCAACTGTATCCCACAATTCCCAGCTCTTTGTTGGGTTCTTAAATCTCTCTGTGCCTCTGAAAACAATTTCACCACCATCACAGCTGAAAACTAGAGGGAGCGCTAGCTCAACATAGTCCTTATTATGAATGTCTTGTGATTGTACAGGTAAGTAGGTATAGATTTTTGAATGCAATTCATTCATGAAGTCCACTTCTGGCCAACCTTCTCCAGACAGTAGATGGGTGTATCTGGGTACCTATGGTTTCCACCAGTTCTGTGCTGATGACACTTCTGGACATCTTCTGACATCTTCTGAACGGACGTAAGCATGATGTGTCTTTCATCTGCTGCATTAGATTAGCTTGGCCGACCATTACGTCTACAGTCCCCAACATTGCCCGCTTCTTTGTGCTTCTTCAAAAGAGCTGGATGAATTGCATTGAAGCTGGCTTGAAGCCAAAGGGTAATCACTAGTGATGGGCCGAACACCCTACCAAAAGTTAGACCACGAACTTCAACCAGGGCCAGTTTACTGAGAAGTATCTTACTTCATCTGAGTATGCGGTAAAATACTGGTCAGCTACTAAAAAATACGGCAGGAGTTATCTTATTAAGTCATGTGGTATTTTAGTAGTTAAACATACTTTAATGTTTCAGCTGTCAGAGGGGTTCCCCGCTGACAGCTGAATGTCAAAAGAATTGTTGGCATTGCCTGACAATTAAAAAAAAAATAGCATTGTGTCCTCCCTCCCATCCATACCAAGCCCATGTTTGTGAAAAAAATGGTGTGGGAATCCCCCCAAAATCCATACCAAACCCTTATCCGGGCATGCAGCCCAGCAGGTTAGGAAAGTGGGAGCAGCCAGCACCCTACCTCTTGAACCATACCAGGCTACATGCCCTCGACATGGGGGGTGCTTTACTAGCAGTGCTGATCCCTTCTCTGACAATTGCTGGTTATCGGCAGTATTTTCCTCATGCTGTGAAAGCGTCATGGAAAGTGCAACCAATAACCGGCAACTGCATTTACCGGTGATCTGCTGTGTCATTGGACACAGCTGATCACGTGGTAAAAGGCCGCTGTGATTGGCCTTTTACCACATCATGTAATCAGTTGCATCCGTAGGACACAGCTATCATGGAGATCGCCTGATGTGCACCCCCGGGGGGAGGACATCATATGGCTCCACAGTGAAGCCGTCATTCGGATCTGCGGTTGGCAAGAGGTTAAATAGTTACAGCTTTTCCACATCTGTGACTTTCAATGTTAATGTAAAACCAATAATACATAAAACTGTACATGTAAGAGAAGGTATACCTGTATTATTAGATATCTGCCCTTCTGAACATGAGACACAGTCATAGCAGCAAGAGTGGATTGAAGATTTTGCCTTTTTTCTGTATCCGGGCAAACAAGCGTCCACACACCGAGATTCCAGCTTCTAAAAGAAAGGGAAAGAAAGAAGTTTACTTGTGTTACATACCATTGGAGGTTCAATAAGAGTGTGTGGCCAAATGTTACTTTATTGACTTATCCATTGGCTTCCATTGCACTTTGAAGTGCATACAAACCCCAAATCTGTTTCTCAGTAGAGCCGCCATCTTGCCTCTCTGTGTACAGTCTGGAGATCCTGCCAGGAACAACACTTCCTATTTCAGGATGACAACACTAAGGCACTGCCTCACCCTGGAGGAGGACTCATGGCCGGCTGACAATGCTGCTGCTAATATTGAGGTAGTGGTGTAGAGTTGTCAGCCTGCTACAGGAAGTGCTGCTACTGGTGTGATCTCTGGGTAAGAAGCTGAAAAGGATTCACAAAAATGAAATACTTATAAAAATTGAACATAATGAGACATGATGACAAACATACTGAAAAAAAAGATGTTGGGTTTACATGCCCTTTAACTACCTCCCACCTGGCCTATAGTCAGAAGACTGGCCACCAGTCACTCACCTCCTGAGCGCTCCAGCAGTTGCATTGCTCAATCTGTCACCCGCTGTGAAAACAGATTATTGTACTGGGCCGGTACATGCACGGTCATGCAACACTGCACTCATATGACATTTTTATCACTTTTTTTTCACACAAATAGAGCTTTCTTTTGGTAGTATTTAATTCCCGCTGGGTGTTTTATTTTTTGTACTATAAAAAAAAAAGAGCAAAAATTTTGAAAAAAAAGTTTTTCTTTGTTTCCATTATAAAATTTTGCAAACAGGTAATTTTTCTCCTTCATTGATGTGCGATGGTGAGGCAGCACTGATGGGCACTGATAGGGAGCACTGATGGGCACTGATAGGCAGCACTGATGGGCGATGATGAGGCAGCATTGATAGGCAGCACTGATGGGCACTGATAGGCAGCACTGATGGGCGATGATGAGGCAGCACTGATAGGCAGCACTGATGGGCACTGATAGGCAGCACTGATGTGCGATGATGAGGCAGCACTGATGGGCACTGATAGGCAGCACCGATGGGCGATGATGAGGCAGCACTGATAGGCAGCACTGATGGGCACTGATAGGCAGCACTGATGTGCGATGATGAGGCAGCACCGATGGGCACTGATAGGCAGCACTGATGGGCACTGATAGGTGGCACTGATGAGGTGGCACGAATAGGCAGCACTTCTCAGTAGAGCCGCCATCTTGCCTCTCTGTGTACAGTCTGGAGATCCTGCCAGGAACAACACTTCCTATTTCTGGCTGACAACACTAAGACACTGCCTCACCCTGGAGGAGGACTCATGGCAGGCTGACAATGCTGCTGCTAATACTGAGGTAGTGGTTTAGAGTTGTCAGCCTGCTACAGGAAGTGATCTCTGGGTAAGAAGCTGAAAAGGATTCACAAAATAAAATGCTTATAAACATTGAATACAGTGAGACATGATGACAAACATACTGGAAATAAAGATTTTGGGTTTACATGCCCTTTAACTACCTCCCACCTGGCCTATAGTCAGAAGACATATTAAAAAAAAAATTGGGTTTACTCACACTTTAACATCTTTCCCACCACCCTATAGTAGATATACTGCTACAGGGTGGTAGGGCTGCACAAAATCACACATATATATATGTACGTGATTTTGTATTTCCATGTAGGGGGCGCTCAGGCCCACCTGCGCTGCTGTTCGTAGCCTTGGCTGTCAATCACCGGGTCCTGGCCGGTGATTACTCGCTGACACCCGGTGATCATGAGGCATTATTGATGTAAACAATACAGATCTCTCCCCTGTCAGCTTCTGCACACTGCTTTTCATGGCTCTGCATAGCAGAGAAATGCAAAGCAGTGTGCTTACAATTGAAAGTACAGTCACAGCACCCAGTAAAACAGCACACAGTTAACCCTTTATGATCGCCCCACATGTTAACCCCTTCCTGCCCAGCACCATTAGTATAGTGGCATTGCTGTTATTGGTGTCACTGGGGATGTAAGTGACACCAAGTAAGCTCCCCCCAGTGTCAGAATGCCCGCCGCAGTCCTGCAGTCCCGCTATAAGTTGCTGATCGCTGCCATTACTAGTAAAAATTAAAAAAAAAAAAATCCCAGTATATATTCCGCCATTTGAAAACGCTCTAACTTTCACGTAAACCAATTAATTTACACGTATTGGGATTGTATTTGAGCACAGACATGGAGCCAGGGGCGGACTCACAACTCATGGGGCCCCCAGGCAATAGGGGATCATGGAGCCCCTGCGTCCTTGTCCAAACTCAAAAAAGCCTATGAAAAAGGTACCAGGGGCATCTCATGGGGCCCCCTACTGACCCCGGGCCCTCGGGCAGTACCCGAGTTTCCAAATGGTCAGTCCACCCCTGCATGGAGCAGAATACGAATTGGCCTAAATTTATGACGAAATTTGATTTTCACATTTTTTTTTTTACTGGACATGTTTAATAGCAAAAAGTCAAAAATATTGTTTTTTTCCTGAAAATTGAAAGCGACCGACAGATTTCAAAAGATAGCAGGAAAAACACCCAAAAATTCTTCAAATATATTAATAGTAAAAAGGTTCAGTCCGAGCATGTAGGCTCTTTTCAGAATAATTTAGATTCGGTGACTGGGGACAAAGAGAAGGCACATTTATTAAATACCTTCTTCAGCTCTGTACACAAAGGAGCATGGGGGGAGCTCTTGTCCATAATGGGCGTGGTACTGACACAGCTCCAGATGATCCACATTGGCTCACAACTGATATGATCCAGAAATATTTAGACAGAAAAGGTGAATAAAGCACCTGGAATAGATCCACGGGTCCTTAAAGAACGGAGCTCTGTCATTTCAAAGCCATTGTTTCTAATTTTTAGAGACTCTTCAATGACTGTCATAGTACCACTGAACTGGTGTAAGGCCAATATGGTGTCTATATTTAAAAAGGGATCAAAATCTTCACTAATTTTAATCAAGTAATTATAGACCTGTTATTTTAACTTTCATACTTGGGAAGATACTTGAGAGTTTTATAAAAAGACCACATAGATGAGTTCTGGCTGGAAAAAAATATTTTAAGCAAAAGACAGCATGGATTCATGAAAGGCAGAAGTTGTCAAACAAATCTGATTTCTTTTTATGAGGGGGTGAGCAAAACCTTGGACAGAGGGATGGCGGTGGATGTGGTATACTTGGAGAGAGGGGTGGTGGTGGACATGGTATACTTGGACAGAGGGGTGGAGGTGGTATACTTGGACAGAGGGGTGGAGGTGGTATACTTGGACAGAGGGGTGGACGTGGTATACTTGGACAGAGGGGTGGGGGTGGTATACTTGGACAGAGGGGTGGCGGTGGACGTGGTATACTTGGACAGAGGGGTGGCGGTGGACATGGTATACTTGGACAGAGGGGTGGGGGTGGTATACTTGGACAGAGGGGTGGCGGTGGACATGGTATACTTGGACAGAGGGGTGGCGGTGGACGTGGTATACTTGGACAGAGGGTGGCTGTGGATGTGGTATACTTGGACAGAGGGGTGGCGGTGGACGTGGTATACTTGGACAGAGGGGTGGCTGTGGATGTGGTATACTTGGACAGAGGGGTGGCTGTGGATGTGGTATACTTGGACAGAGGGGTGGCGGTGGACGTGGTATACTTGGACAGAGGGGTGGCGGTGGACATGGTATACTTGGACAGAGGGGTGGCGGTGGATGTGGTATACTTGGACAGAGGGGTGGCTGTGGATGTGGTATACTTGGACAGAGGGGTGGCTGTGGATGTGGTATACTTGGACAGAGGGGTGGTGATGGACGTGGTATACTTGGATTTAGCAAAAGCGTTTGACACAGTTCCCCCCACACGGCTAATGTGTAAGGTAAAGTCTACGGGCTTGGAAAAATCTATATGTAAATGGATAGAAAACTGGCTAAAAGATCATATTCAGAGAGTAGTAGTTAATGAGTCATACTCTGCATGGTCTAGGTGTGTCAGTGGTGTACAGGAGCAAATTGGATCGTGCTTTGCTGTTTTTTTTTTTTTGCCTTTCTCTAGATCAACTGTGGGTGTAGGATTATAACTTTTTTTTTGTGGAACTGGATAGACTTTTGTCTTTTTTTCAGCCAGACTAACTATGTAACTATTTTGAACATGTGTAACAAAATGCTTCCAATGGTATATTTATCAGATCAAACAGGAAGAAATAAGAGAAGTTCACTCTTAGGGTTGACATATACAGTACTTTAACCACTTGCCCTCCTGAGGATTTACCCCCCCCCCCCCCCCCATCCTAACCAGACCTTTTTTTGCTATTCGGTGCTGCACTATTTCAACTAGTAATTGCGTGGTCATGCAATGTTGTACATAAATGAAATTTATGTCCTTTTTTCACAAAAATAGAGCTTTCTTTTGGTATTTTTTCACCAGTGCGCTTTTTATTTTTCACGATATAAACAAAAAAAAAGACCAAAAATTTTGATAAAAAACAAAGCTTTCTTATTTCTGTCCTGAAAAAATATCCAAAAACTCAAATTTCATCATAAATTTAAGCCAAAATGTATTCTGCTACACGTTTTTGGTAAAAAAAAATCCCAGTAAGTGTATATTGATTGCTTTGTGTGAAAGTTATAGCATCTACAAACTATGGTATAGATAATGGAATGTACGCAGCTTTTACTTTCTGATTGCCTATCACATTTCTAAAATGTTAAAATACCAAGACAGTACAAACACCCCCAAATGACCTCTTTTTGGAAAGTAGACACCCTAAGCTATCTGCTGAGAGGCATTTTGAGTCCATGGAAGA